ATTGAAGAAAATAAATGAAATCAAAAAATCGCACGGTATGATGAAACAGTGAAATGCTATGATTCGATAATGAAATGTAAACGACAAACAAATTGCTGATTTCAAGTGAAATCTGTTTCGCTATTTTCAATGCTGGAATCAACTGGAAAAACTGAGTGCTACAGAAATCTTTTTATATATTGTAAATCCCTCTTTTGCGAATATAAAAATGAGCACATTTTGAAGATGAATTAAAGGAAAAGTTGAGAACGCGATCAGGCCGCATGAAAGAATCACACGGGGGTCAGGTAAAACGCCCGGAAATCGATATCATTTCGATCGATAGGAACCTGCAACACCGCAAGATGAAAGAAGGATTTTATATTCGTGACCTCAAACCTGATGTTGATGTCCGACAAGAAATGTCTGAGATTTATTAATGGATGAGGTATATAAATATCAATACAAAAGCGATGAGATTTATAAACATTAATACAGCTTGACTGGAGCGCCGTTTGTTATCACTGATCATACGTCGTGTATTAAGGTGTTCATTATCCTTAATCTTCGGTTATTATCACCATCCTTGTCACTAATTGAGATGCTCTGGTATTTTGACAAGCCATGATATTCGCAGTAGAGGAATTTCAATTTCTTCACTAAGCATGCCAATGGTGACCACTACACATCACCATTGCTCACGCCGAGCGTCATAACCCTCTTAACATAACAATTGGCGACAAAATCAAAAATAGATTTCTGTTGCACTCAGTCTCGGCTACAACATGGTGTACAATATTCCTTCTAATTTTTATATTCGCAATAGAGAGAATTTCAATTTCTTCACTAAGCATGCCAATTGTGACCAGTGAACATCACTATTGCTCACGCCGAGCGTCATAACTCTCTTAACTTAACAATTGGCGACAAAATCAAAAAAAGATTTCCGTTGTACTTAATCTCGGCTACAACATGGTATATATCATGATCTAAGTTTTTCCTGTCGGGTGGGTACCAATTGAAAGTATCTGTTGCATTTTTGCCTTTGACGCAAAATCGTAAATATCGAACATATGTCGATCACTGGCAAATCTATCACTTATGTTTTGTTCTCCCGGATCTGCGCTACAAAACGATATATGACTTGCCCAGATTTATCCCCGTTAAATAGGTAAGAAATTCACATTGCTGAACATATATCAAATGAAAATCCCACTTCCGTCACTTGGCGAACTGCCACTCCGTTCGTACTTGGCGAGTGGAGATGTTCAGTCAAGCACAGTTGTCTGAATCCGCCACTGTTCGGTCTCTTGCAGTGAGTGTATGCAAGGTTGAAGTGGCAAAGTGGTGTCTTACCGATTGATATGCGGATATGAGGTGGATGTTATGTTAGAATTAGGGATAAGGTTGGGATTAATTATATGATTCGAATGTATAATGGCTTTGTTACAGAGTAACAAGTCTTTCAACTGATCGAGATGGCAGTAATTTCAGTGAATCCGTGAAAAATTTTCAAGTAACTAATCTCGTGAATCATAGATTAGTTCCATTAATGATTGCTTCACCAAAAAATCGATTGACGGAACATTAGTTAATTGTGCCTTCTTGTCCGGAAATGTTCATTAAGAATGATTTTGCCTGATTTCAATAAATTTCCAAGTTCACTGCTAGAACGAATCAGGCTTCACTTACAGTTAGATATTTGTTCTAATCCTGAGCTATCAGACCCCGACAAATTTCGGTCTCCAGGCAAATTCTGGTCCAGGTTAGGCAAGTCTTGGTCTGGCTTGTTGAATCAGAATTCCTGTTTAATTCGTGTTTCAGTTTATTCAGGGGTAATCGTATGAAATGGACGACGATAATGAAGTCCGTGCAAAGGTTGAGAAGTACATGCGAATGATTGCAAATGAAGATAAGGTTAGTATCATTTCATTTCAGAGAATTAATAATGAAATTTGATGTGTTTTTCGATAAAATATTGTTTTGGAAAATGCAAAATCGCGGATTTGATCTCAATACGCGGAATTAAGTTTTGCGCTTAAAAGTAGCTAATTTGAACTCATGGAAGATAATAGTACTAATTAAAATAACGATAGTATTGAGTTATTGTTTAATGAACGAAGATAACATGGATAGTTAAATAGTATTGCTTTGCACTTATGGTGTTCAAATGCGACAGTGCTGAACTAGTAAAGTGACATATTTATCAGTGAATGAATTTTAGATGGGTCATGCATTAAAACGGTTGGATAATATAAAGATGACACTAGATTTATTATCTGAGACGGGTGTCGGTAAAGTTGTGAATCAATTACGGAGTCATAAACATTATGGTGACTTGGCGTTGCGTATCGTTAATAAATGGAAAGATATTGCTCGAAGTCATGGATTGAAACAACGGAAGTCTGTTTCATTCGAAACTATTCTTACATTTAATACAGTTGGAGAGTTAATCAATACTGATAATGCAAACGAGCTTGGGTCGTTGATCCATAATTGTTTTCAATGAAAGGTTCAATTAAAGGAGTCGTTCGTCGTCATCAAGTTCAGAACATGAAGAAAGTCCTGTGAGGGATGAAGAAAGTCCTGTGAGGGATGAGGAAAGTCCTGTGAGGGATGAAGAAAGTCCTGTCAGGGAGTCGAAAAAAGAAAGAATCGATAACGACGATAATTCTGACAATGATCGGTACAGTAAGGAGGATGATAGAACAACTCACAACAGATTATCGAAAAACAAGGTTTACAATTCACAGTTGTTTTCAGTTATCACGAAATGAATTCAGTCGGAACCAGTTAGTCAGCTGTTCACATGCGGTTTATAAACAAAATGATCAAACTTGATTATCAATCAGCATTAAGGTGTCATCGTCAAAATCAAAAACTGCTGGTGCATCAGGGTCGGGATGTATCAGTTTCGAAGAGATGTTAGCACTGGGTGATGTGGCGAAGCCGGTAAAACCAAAGAAACCGAAATTGGAATTGGGTGATTGGAATTCATCACAAGTTGATGTTAATTATAGACCATCAAAAAGACTTAATTACGAACCAACACCTATTGTGAAAGAGCATCATGCTGGTAACTTGCCACAATCTCTACATTATTGTCGTATTTTCATTTTTANAGCATCCGATGACAAACGCCAAACCGCCATAAATATTTTAAATTTAAATCGATTGTTGTCAGAATGATTCCCAACGAGTTGATATCAATCTTTTAGGTTTATCGGAAGCACTAACGATGGATGCATCAATGTTCAAACCCCGTAAAGATATGCGTAAAATATATGCTGGTCGTCCGAAGGGTGATCTCCAGGTGCCATCGTTATCCAACATTTGTATACGTGTTCTGTGTTCAAATATTGACGGTTTGTTCATATAAGTATTTGCGCGCATTTGTATTCAGTCATATAAAAGTTTATCTATCATCATTCATTATTATTATCAAGTTACACGAGTTTCATTATGATTCTAGTTACGTTAGTGCTTCGAACATTTACTGCGATTTACAATCATATTTTCAAACATTCACACATTTCTTTATTATGAGTAATGTAACTGCATAGTTCAGCAATCGAGGAAGTTGGTGATACGCCTTATTACCTTTTGAAACCGGTTTTGGAGAAGTGTAATCCGGAACAGTTGACGTATATTGAACGGAGAAACCCGGTCTGTGGTTATTCTTATTGATTTTATTATATTTCCCTTTTTTGGTTTTGAACTTTTCAAATATGTTTTAATTGTTGTCAGATTATATTGATTATTATGTTTGAAGCATTTAATGGAGGATAGTGATGAAATTTGGGAGAAAATTGTGAATCGTACGTATCCAAAATGTCAAACAGCTGATGACGAAACATGGAGGGAATGTTATACGGTATCATTTCATCTTTTTTTTTNTTTTTTTTTGAATTAGATCTTTTGTTTTCATCTTTCTTTTTTTTCAGCCATTAATTGGTCAACCAATCTATTTCACCATTCATTTATTCAGTTCACCATCAGTCATTGACGAATGTCGAAATAAGAGCTGCCGAATTTAATTTGTTGGAAATTAGAAAGCTAAACTGATTCAGTAGCGATTTGATACTGGTAAAACGAAGCTGAGAATAAAGAAGGGTTGTAATTAGAGGAATCGTGTAAAGTATGTAGATAGAATCAAACGAAGCACAACAGATTGAAATATGATTGATAATCATATCAGGAATACTAAAATCTGAAGAGATGTAATAAAATTTTTCAAAAAATTGAAGCGATTGTGTACGGAGACGGATCGTAAATTGAAACTGTTATCGTCTCGTATAACACAGCATAGTCGTGAGGCGGCAGTACCTCAGCGTAAAGCATTACTTGCTGATGCAAAAGCACCGCGTGAGGTTCGTCGAAGACAGATTAAATATGGTACCTCGCACATGAATCATGCCCTACCGAACGCTTCCGAAATATCACAAGCTAGAAGGGCCATTTTTGAAAAAGGTTTTATTTTATATTCTTGTTCCACATAGCGTTTGAACACCCCTTTTCGCCTCTTCATTTTGTTTGTTACGAAGAAAAAAGTATTTTTGTACGTCAGGCAGTAAAGATGCACTATCAAATTTACCTCAGTCCGTCCGTAATGCGAATTCAACTTTGGGATCACACCACTCTGAAAGGAAGAAACAACCGGCGAAGAAAGGTGCTTTGATGGTTAAAACGCTCAAAATGTTGAAAGGACATAATCGAAAGTAATTTTGTAATGCATTATAGCAATTCCTTAAAGGAAACTATCATTTACTATTATTTTCGTTAACGCTTAAATCAGTTCATTTCATTGTTTTCGTGATAGCAGTAACATTCTATATCTGCTTGTTACGTAATTGACCCTAGGTATTTTGATGTCTCTCATTCAGTTGTCAGTCCGAGACGGGTTCCATAATATCGCTTACTTCTTTCATTATTTTGGTTGAACGGTTTAGCACTATATCTGTTTTGAAATTTTTGCAATTTCCATTACTATAATAATTGCAGCTGATTCTAGAACAGATCTGTATTGATTGTCAAAGTTTGAGTATTTTCACTTAAGTTTTTATAGCATATATCATAGTTTCCAAATGCAGTAATTGTGAGCTTTCAATTTATTGGATGGTCTGTAATATATTTCTAAAAGAGATATTCCGATCCTGGATGAGATATTCTGAACGCTGTCTGTGAGGAGTGGATAATCAAAGATTTTTGTTAGAAAGAATTCTGCACATTTTTATGTAGCTGTGTTTTTTCGGTGATGATTTGTTCTGTTTCTTGGTAACGTATGGCGACAAACTTTAAAAGATGCAGTCGTCGTTCTATATAATTGTCATCTGTTGTTTCAAAATTAGCGATCATATGAGTTGAATGGAACCATGGCGATATTTATATTTTGCCATAATAATGGTAGTGTTTTTTGCCTTAATTTAACGTTTTATTCAATTGCTTGTTTATCGAACTGTATGTTATTTTTCATAATTCTTTTAGAGGTTCTGATATATCTGCAATGAATAGTATGTTTAATATTTTATTACCTTGGTCGCTCCATTTGCTTGAATTAGTTTTCGTTTTATCAATTCAACTTTTGGCTGCCACGGTATCCGAATCATAGTCTGAGCACTTATCGTTAGTGCAATCTTATTTTTTATACGTTGTATTGTATTATTGGTACTGTTTTAGTATTGCTTGTTTTTTTAAACTTTTTAAAATTTTCGTTATTATTATTATTATTATTATTATTATTATTACTTTGAATAT